TGATAAATAAGACAGATGTAAACTAAAACTTGCAACTCAAATGAAAGACTTGGTGCAGCTATTAAAGCTGATTAATGCTAAATATTAGGGATGCACGATATTGGGATTTTGGCCGATATCCGATATGCCGATACTTTAAAACTCATGTAGACGATAACCGATATCGATACCGATGTTAAAGCTGGACAAAAATAAACAGTCATTGAAAATAGCAGTTTTGTTATCCATTTCTGACACTTTGAAAAATAATATACTATAAATATATTTTCATATGCTGATATCAAATTGATTTTTAAAAACGCGGTATCGATCTATTTTACTTTCAAAATCTCGTGAAATTTCATCGTTCTGTTACAAACTCTCGTGATATTTTGCAAATTCTTGTGAGATTTTGTTAGTAAAATAGATCGATACCGCGTCAATATATCAACATATAAAAATATGGCAAAATTTCGTGAATTTTCGGGGGATTTCGTAGCATAACGATGACATATAGCAATATTTCATTAGTAAAAGAGATTGATATGGTGTTTTTAAATGGCAATATATCAGCATATGAAGATATTGGGATATTTTAATGTATCAATATTTTTTCCCTCGTCTTTAGAAGTTTTTAAGTCTGAAAAAAAGAAGTTTTTGAGGAAGAAGAAGAAGTAGTATTTTTTTTATTTTTTTTTTAGACTTTAGAAACTCAGAAGCTGATCAAATATCGGGTTAAATATCGGTGGGGTGGCCGATGTCCGATATTCAGTTTTAAGGCCGATACCGATAGGGAGACAATTATATCGTGCATCCCTACTAAATAGAGAAGAAATATGTATTGTTTCTATTTTTGGTTGAGACTCATGGCACTTACACTATTTGGCAACTTTTCAAAATAAATGCCAAATTTGGAAATTTCACTAACAGTGCCTTTCTTTTTCACTTTTTTGCTAACTTCTGTCTAAATCTCCAATTGCTCATTTTGAAATATTAGTTTAACATTCAGTTTGTATCCCTGTCTAAAAAAAAAGAGAGATTTAAAAAAAGGAACAATATCAAAATGATAAAGAAGACACCAGTGAAACCACAGAGAAAGAAAAAAAGTTAATAAAATTAGCTAATTAAATTGAAGGCTTGGTGCAGCTACAAAACCTAATAAAGAGAAATTAAATATATTTTTCAAATTACGGTTTGGGGCTTTAAGGGCTTCTGGCCCCTGAAGTTTTGCTCGCTATACAAATTTGCAGGAAAACAAAATGCTAAATGATGAGTTCTTGTCTTAGACTTATTTTTTGTTCATCATTTCATGCATTTTTTTTTATTTATTTTTTTTTGCTTATAAACGGTTGCATAAATTGTGCAAACATCCAGCTGCCCAGTAACTCTGCTCTCTGTCTCAGTCATGGGAATCTTTAGATGCCAGATCAAGATGTGCATTTCCTCTGTTGAAGCACTGGGATCTCCTGTAACAGAGACGAACTCTCAGGTGTTCTGATCAGATGCATCAACCACCTCAGCTGCCTGTTTTCAGTGCAAAGCTCATCATCCTGTCAGTACGGCTGAGCTTATCTACCCTACAGATTGAGATCATTTCAGCAGCATGTTTCCAGTTTTGGTCACACTCCGTAGCATCACTGTGGCTGAGGGCAGGAATGTAGACAGACAAGTAAACAGCCTCCAAACTCCACAGTTTAGATAAGATTTATTTAAAGAAGGAAGAAGTTATCACAGTAGAAAAGTATTTCTAGAATCTGACATGACTTTATACATGTTTTCTGTATATATTCAGGCTGCAAAGTAGCAGGAGAGCGGCTAGCATGACGGCTGAACAGAGAAGAAAAGTTTTGTTTTTAGCTTTCTGTTTCTTATGGAACAATCTGGAAACGTTGACGGCATTTTGAAAAGCAAGGCTCTTCATTGGTTGGAAGAATTCACACAATGACTGCAGTGTTTGTAATGCTAGCCAAGCTAAATGCTAACTGAGACAGCTCAACGACAAAGGCTCTAAAGCGAAAACACTCTTATCAGGTTCTCTTTCTTCTAAAAGAAAAGTTAAACTAAAGCCTCTTCCCCACGGACAACACCGCTGTTCTGTCAGATGAGCATACCCGGTCAGACCAGCATATCTATAGTCAATACCCTTTTATACCTTTAGTTTATGCCTTTAGTTTTGTACGAAAAACAGACTTTGAACTACCTCAACAGGCATGTATCCATTTAGTCATGTACAAAAAAACAATAGAATGACTTATTTTTTGGTGTTTTTTTAGGCGTACTGCGATCTGACCTTAATTTTTTTTTTTTTCATACAAAACTAAAGGGATAAACACAAATCTTACGGCTTGCGCATACGTATTGACTATGGGTATGCTGGTCTGAAGGGTATGCTCACCTGACAGAACACCGGCTTAAGGCGTGTTTTTCAACCCGCAAACAATCTGCATTGGCTCACCTTCCACTAGAAAAAAAAGCTCAGTGGCCTCTCCTCATCACTGTGTGTCTGATGACACCATTACGCTGCGTTAGCGTTGATTAGGTCAGCAGTGTGACAGAAATCAGGGAAGTAAACAATGGAGAGCGACATGTAAGCAAGCCAGGGCGTAGTCAGTGTGCTTTTTCGTTTCGCTCTATTATCTGTCTGAATCCCTCTCACCATACTATGCCATGTTTAATGAAACACAGTTGTTTTTGTTTGTTAGATCAGAAGATACAGCCGTGGTGTGTTGATGTCATTCATACGTTGCGTTCAATGGTGTCATGTTATTTAGTAGGTCAGTCCAGGTCTGGTGTTCACTCAGCATACCGATCAGAGCTGAGGTGATTTTTAAAGCGGGTCGCTTGCCAAGTAGTTTTGACCTGGGTAGACACGGGTCTGTGAGCTGTTCCCACAGCCACTAAAAGTCATTTGTTCCCAGGTTTAAACAGGTTTTTCGACCAGCTGGAAAGTGGTATAACAGGTATGCTTTCTTACATGTGATCTGACCTTTGCTCCTAACATTGATCAAAAACTGAGCGCTGTGAGCAGGAAGGCAACAGAGGAATTAGTCAAACACTGTTCACTAGGAATGGGAATGGAAAACTGGTTCCTGTTTAGAACCAGTTCTGTGTGTTCCAATTCCATCGCACCATTTGGCAGCTCGCTTAACGCTTCATTTAAGGACCTACATCACCTTTTCTACGTAAGTTACATCATGTTATCTATGCAAGTTACGCACACGGCATTCGGTAAGCAAGTGCATAAGTCTAGAAAAGCAAAACCAAAAAAATGGTGTCCCATCGGGTAAACAGATCGAAAGTTTGGATGTAAAGTGGCAATAACATCCGCAGGAGCAAATACATCCAACATGCAGAAACACCTGCGCACACAACATGGCATACATTAGAACGAATGCTTCTGGACAGAAGCTAAAGTTACGACCAGCATGGAAGGCAACTCTGGTGGTAAGGAGCTAGTTTTATATCACTGGCCATACTTAATGTGGTTCCTAGTAAATCATATACACAATTTCTGGGAATAAACCCATTTCCTACCTCTCTTTGGGGTTATTAAACATCCTACGAAGTTGCTCCGCAGTTCAGGGAGCGAGAGAAAGGGGACGCTCGTTTATTTAAATTAGGGGAAGATGAGTTTATTTCCCGTAATTGTACAGTAATGCTTTTTCATTAAACGGATGCCTTATCCATTAGATTTAGATGACTGGGAGGAGACGGGTAGCCTGGCTGGTCAGAAGCTGGCAGCTCCCGTTCACCGCCTTCTGTTTTCATTGAAGTAGGCAGAAATAGAATGTCTCAGGCGAAGGTAGACGAATGTCACCGTGCACTTACCACGTTCATTGTTTCACTGAATCAATAAGGGAATTAGAATCGTGAAAATCTTATCAATTCCAAACCCTACTGTTCACTATAGTTTTAAAAGAGTTTTCAAATCCGACCTAAATCCACGGATTGGAGAAGGGAAATCTGCCACTTCCTCCATCTCTAGTGAATATTAATCTAGCATCAGTTAAACTAAAGCTCAAGCCGAGTTATTTTGGCTTAAAATCCTTAAACACTGATGCAACCCTTCAAGCTTTATCTAGCAGATTTTCTAGGTTTTCAATCTAATTTTTTAGGTTTCTAAGTGTGTTTTTATATACAGCTAACTTAATAAATATGTGGGAAGAGACCTTCCCTAACTATGGTTCTGCTCATTAACAACATGAATGTTAAACAAAACAATTTAGATAAATTTTAAGTTCAGACTTCCAGCTTTACTTTAGTCAGCTAAACAAGATTGATTGCATATAATGTGGGAAAACTAAACAATTTTTGCAACACAGTCGCTTCATTTCAGAGCCTAAAAAGGTAATTGGACAAATCTGTGAATAAAATGCTCATTTCTAATTCTGCGTTGAAAAGTAATGACTGCCTGAAGGTTTGAGCTCCTAGACATCAACATCTGCTGCTTCCTCCTTTTTACCTCCAACAGTTTGAGCGTGTTTGGATTTTAATGAACTTGTTTAACAAAGGTGTGTCTCAGTCCAAGGAACGATCCGTTAAATTTTGGAGATCAACATCATAATCTGGGTGCAGGAACGAAAGCACATGTCTGCTATATAACCTCAATGTTTCTGTAAACAGGTAAAAAATTGAAAAAATGTGTTGGTGTTCAAATATTTATTGATCTAACTGGATTTTGATTTTGTAAACCACTTTTGTTTTCAATAAAGAGAAGGATCTAGAAAAGGACTGATGGACGAACTTTACAGAAGTATCTAAATTGAAGGTTTACAACCATTGGGACTCAGAACAGCTTCCAATTATACTTCTAGCCTCAGCCTTGTAAACTTTCCTGCGATCTCCAGAGGGCAGCAGATTATAGACGGTCCTTAAAGTCCGACCTGATGTATGAAATGTGGGTGGAGGCTGTGTCTGCTTAATTATAGATAAACCACGTTTGCAACCGGAGCAGCCTCACAAATATACTGAAAGCTCAGGACACCTGGGCTCCCCCAGAGGCCCAGGACAAAGAAACTCACCTTTACGGAAGCAAAGTGTATGGAGCGTGAATCAGGTGTTCATGAGTCTGTGGTCAGCATACATCTGGATAAAAAAAAATGAAAAAATAAATAAACTAAAGGAAGCATTACTAACAAAACTAATGCTGCGAATCATAAGACAAGAGAAGCAGAGATGATCACACAGTACTGTAGCAGAAAATAATCCAGCGGAGAGTAAACAAGGCTCTGGGTGTAGGAGATGGTAGCAGACAGTCCGCAGACACTATTTACTCTATCATCATCATGTTAACCACTGAACACTGCTTAGGGAGGGAAGAAATCTGCCGGGTGCTCTACTTGGAGCCATGACCGGTCTGTGGTCTCAGAAACCTTCAGTGGTCTTTAGTTCGAAGAGTGGAGGAAACTAAAGAGCTTTTTAACGGCCACCAAGGTTTTTCTAACATCAGCTATAAATACTAGCAACAAGACTGTAAGGCAACATAAGAAGATTTTAGCAACATGGAGCAACTTGTGAGGAACAAAGATGCAACGAGGAAACAGCAGGTTAGAAACCTTCCACTGCAAAAAATGGAAATCTAA